AGTGCGAGGAAGATTGGTTTAATCTTGAGCGTAAGGGAATGTGCAAAGTTGCATACAATGCGAGCAACTATACAACATCTTCCTCCGTGGGCTAATACTACTATTCTTTCATCTTGATGAATAAATACGAATCAAATTTTCTCTTTAAAAGATAAGAATGTAATAGTTGTACCTTTTTCATGGATGTGAAAGATTGTGAATAAAAAAGAAAATAATAGTTGTACCTGTTAAACCTTTTTCATGGATGTGAAAGTTTGTGAATAAAATATGTCATGCTAAAAATACGAATCTGTATGTGAAACAAGTCTATTCTACGTCTTCCAAACTTTTTCATCGTTTATGACACAAAGAAGAATGCAAAACACTTTTTTTGTGTTCTTCAAAAGCAGCACTTCACCAGCGTCGTTTTGGCCATTAACCTTTTGAAAACAAAGACGTTCAAATCCAACTTCACCAAGAAATTGAGATTTTCAACCTAATGTGAAGCGACTGAGGGAAGAAGTATCATTTGAACTTTGAATGCTTTGGTGAACTTTCATATACCAGAAATAGTAAGAGTGCAACAAAATAGAGCTGGAGCATTCAAAACTTGTACTCTGTGAGAGGAAAGTGGGAAAATCAAAATCTATCTATATATACATTTATAAATCTCAAGCACTGTACCTTTGTTTGTTAATCGGTTTGTGTCTTATAGACTCCTTCGTATGTACACCAAAGAGGCTGAATTTTGTTTTTTTGAATGAGACATGGCGCAGAAGATAGGCTACTTTTTGCGACAATTCGCTGGGTCCTTCTATCGATTTATTGATCTGTTTACGTAAATCTAGGAAATGAAGGGCTTATCAAATTATTCGTCTAAGTGAAATTGAATAGTAGCGGTAAGTCCCATTTTGAGTTTTGCATGCAAAGCGCAGTGACAAAAAGAGCACCTCAAATAGGTATTCTTATACCTTTAAGATGATGTATTGTATGCGCTTACGCTGAGGTGTGTAGGATCCTTGCGCAACATCATGGGCGCCAATTCTCAAAGTCACTTCAGTTTCAGCATGTATGGGGCCTATCAACTGCAGTGTCGGACGCATCAGCTCTCCGCTTCCGCGCGGCCGCCTCGCCTGGACTCTGCGCCTCTTTAGCGAACATCCTCTCTGATCACTTTCCCACCGCAAGCGTAGCAAAGACCTCAGTCGATTTCGCATAGGAAGTGCAGACATGTTTGCGGAAGAGGTGCAGAGTCCCGCGCGGGAGCGGAATGCTGGTGCACCCGACACTGCAATCGTTAAACCCTGTATGTCAATTGAATCTACTGTTGCGATTTAAACTATGGCGTCAAAAACAACAGCATTAGTGACAGTCATCCATAGAATATATAATATATTCGATTATATGATTAGAGCAGTAGTCTTTGTCGTAATACGTGCAAATATTGAAAGATCCTTGAACTGTAGTAGCAATACAAGGAAAAAAATCTAAGCTACACTCACTTTTGTCACAGACCGCTTGGAGCAAAGTACCAGAAAATGGATGCATTGTTGCACTTGCGGTGATGAGGTATTGAAGATAGATAGGAAGCAACCGATTAAAGGACGGCACATTGAAAATGCTCTCAATGTGAGTGATATGCCTTATCACTCCCATCCCACTACGCTTACGAGTACATTCGTGGGAAGCAAACCTGTCAAGTAAAATGAGCACCCTTTTCCGGAAACCCCAGTGGGAATGTCAAAGTGGCAAGAATATATTGAAGTGTTGTATTTTCGCAATATGATCTGTACCCTTATTCCATTCATACTACTAAGTCTTTACTAGTGATTTTATCTACAGATTTGAGTTACTTCTTTCAAAAATTGCTGTCAAAACACCAACTTTAAGTTAACATGGAGTTCGCAATCAAAACATCTTGTGTATAGGTCATAGAGATCATACAGGTAAAGCTATTTGAACATCATAAATTGCTGAATATAAAGAAGTAGCTCGGGCTTAGCCGGGTTCGCCAGCTAGTTACTAATATTTGGTATCTTTGCATGGCGCTGCAAGAGCATGACACTTACGAGTTAGCAAAAAGTAGTACTGCTCAATGTTTGGTAAGAAGGAACACCGCTGCTGATTATTTTGAAACGAATTAGAAGGAGAGTATTGAACACAAGGTACCTTTCGCTAGACAACATTTTAAGATTTGAGAGTTTACGGGCTGATGGCTGCAAAATTTTCGTACGTTTTTAGGATCTACCTGCAAACCTTTTATAATGAAGATAGATAGACAAGACATTCAATGCAGGATTCTTTTTTCTAGTACTGCAATTTTGAAGTAAATTTCTCGAGTAGTGCTGAGAAAGTCGCAGCAATTTTTCACCTTTCGCTTCTACCTTGCCTAACTTTCGCAAAATCTCAGAATCTTTATGACTTTTGGAGTAGCTCTGATAACAGCGAATAGACCAAACGTTTTGCAATCTGGTGCAATTTCGCGCTTTCCAGCTTGTTTTTTTTTCATTTCTCGAGATATATCATGGATACTTTGAACACTCTCTGTAGGTTAATAAGGTGGTATTCTTGAAAACCCTTACACAAATCAAAAGAGTTTTGATTCAATCAAAAATCCTATTGAAGGATGTGTACTTCTGTTTGAAATTGCAAGCAAACGTATGTATAATAGCGGTATGATAATTATGGCATTGCAAACGGTTTATAGAAATAAGTTATCGCAGCTTCGATTTGACTGGATACCCAAGAAGCTTTTTGTGATGCCTGGTCACTTTTTGTAGAAGTTGAGGCCAGTGACAGTTTTCATCAACGAACCCTTAAGGTTAAAAGTTACCTCAGCTAGCAATTTAGTTTATAACCCGTATTCACAACATGATCGCAATGAGATTTTCTCGTGGGTTAAGTCTACCTTGAGGTAGAAATGAACCTTCAAACGCATAAACCCGTATTCATCATTCTACCTTGAGGTTGAAATCTACCTCAATCATCATTTCTCTACCAACTTTCTATTATGCTTTCGAGGTAAAAACCAACCCTAGAACAACTAGGGTTTGAAATCTACCTTGACTCTGCACATAAAAATTGAACTCTTCCCAAAAGCGCCCTTGTTTTCAACGCGACCGTTTTAAAGGACGAATACATTCTCTTTATTTAGCTCAAATTCACTCGCTTACTCAGTCTATTGTCATTTCATCTAGTCATGGTTCCTGAGAGTTAATTCTTTGAGGTTTATTAAGAGATTATTAATGGGCTAAGCATCGAAATAATCAATGCCAAGGGCGCACCCGGTTATTTGCAACTCAAGCGAGATCCCACCCTGCCGAAAAAATTTTGTGCAACTGTAGCGTTAATACTGCTAAGACTCATAGATGAGAATAACGCTATTCGACTCACTGAGTTCAATGTTGACATCCCAAAGGTCTAAACTACGCAGACATTTTATTGGGAGAACAAACTCAACGTAGTACTAAGCAACTTCAATCATAAAAAAAGAGGAAGAAAACTAAAAGTTAGAAGAACGATACTCAATCCGAAGGCTATGCCATGGGTGAAAAAGATAAGTGAATCAAAACAATTGGAAACAATTAACGAAGATATTTGCGCTGGAGGAATAAAAAACATCAATAAAATGAGGTCCAGATGAAGCAAGACAACGAAAAATTTCAGAGTTATCACCCTTCTCACTTTCGTTATTGATATCATAAAAGGCAATATCCAGAGTTGTTGTTCTACTGCATTTGCACGTTTTTATTTTGAATCTCGATACAGCATTTGCAAATAGCTCAGCATATTTTAAAGGGAATTGAAAAAACGGGAAGTTTGACTTTTAATTTATTTACTTTTTTATGATGGAGAATAAAGAACGTATAGAACAACTATGTTAACGCCAGGAATTTAAAAAACGCTCCAAACACGACGTGTGGCAATCTCAGGTCGTACCAAAACCATTTTCATTCAGAGGTCTTAAAAACAACTTTTAAGTATGAAATGTGGAAAAAAAGAAAGTAATCAAATCAACCTTTCAAAAATACTTGTGTGATATAAATAATCTTGCGTCCATTTCTATGTAAAATATCTCTCGATGATAACTCTGCGCATATTGACGCCTTCCCCTGCACCCGGGATATCCGCTTCACTGTCACTGGCATCGGGATATTGCTGTGGCACTCCTTCATTTTCACCGAAGGGTCTTTCTCCAGTCTTGATGCAGTAGTTTCTCGCGCAACAAGTGGGAACGATTATCTTGGCGGCACGGATCATGCCTGCCTGAGTCATGGTTTTGTATTGGTGCACGCTCGTACCCGGCACACCTTAGTTCTGTATGCAACGACGAAAACTGTCTCTTTAACGATCCAAGCGCATTTTCTGTGATAACCCTGCTTCTGCAAAGTGCTTCCATAAATCGTGCTTCTAAAATTATTTCTTTTCATAAAAATCGAATGCTAGTCGGTCATGAACCTGCCGGCGTTCTGTCATCTTTTAATACGGGCTTTAAAAGAAATCGTTCCGAACTATATGCGCTATCTGCAAGGGAATTCCGAATTTCTTTCTGTCACAAAATTGCACTGCTACGAAAACAGCTGAAAAGTAAGTTGATTGTGAAGTGCCAGAAAGCGGTAAGTTTTGTTACTTGCACGAGAATCGTGTGCTCGCCCTGGGAATCTAGAGTTAACCCAAATAAAATGCTGCTCAGTATCACATATGGCTCCCATATTTATAGAATGGAAGTCTTTTCTGAATGCATGAAGCTAATTGCTTGTTTGCATTATCAATTAGATCTTGCCTGTTGACATAACTGTCTTCGCATACGCTTGGCGCTAGACTTTTTACATGGGACCCGTCCAAAGCCCCGATGACATGGGGAATCCCACATAATTCGTAAAATCTAAAACATGGCCTACAGTGCAATAAATTTGCATCATGGCACTAACTTTCTCTGGATGTTGCGTTGTTCTTCTTCATTTGGCCATCTAATAAATTCGTTTCTTCTCCGATACAACACATCGGACACCTGCGCGATAATGCGGGATACTGTCGGCTGTGAACAGCCTAAGGTAATGGCTGTTGTCCGCTGAAGTTGCAATGTGATGAAGCCACATTCTGTAAGTAAATATGTGTACCTGCATATTAGCACTCCCCACATGTTCTAGAAAGATGGCGAACTTATGACAGCTCGAAATCGACGCAGTCCTTGTTGTCAAATGATAAATCTCCGTGCAACAACGCTGGTAAACTATAAATTCCACGTCGACTTAGATGAAAATGCTCTCTGAATTCCCTGTCGTTTCGCATCTTGGGGATCAACTCAGTTGCGCAATTCAATGCTTTCTCTCTTATTATTTTCCAAAATCTAAATGACTCTGAAATAATAATAAGGTAACTGAAGTACAGGGCTATATGAATGTAGTAAGAGCCAAACTCCTCCTCATGGTGCATAATAATGTTTTCGAATAAAACATTACTTAAGATATGCACGATTAACTCAACAAAATAATAGCAAACACTTCCACTCAAAGTTTTGCAGCTTTTCAAATCACACAGCATGGGATTTTCCCACTGCATCTGTGTTATATTATAAAATAGTGGGTAAGGTGGATGGTGCTACGGGGAAGATTCGCCTTTGCGGTTTCTACTAAAAGTCTAGCTTCCTCCATTCTTAGCTCAGCCACACAAACCTCAGTTCATGCTTTCCGCTATTATCGAGCTCGCCATTGGAGTCTTCATCCTAAGAAATTCTCAAGCTTAATAAGAACAACCAGTTTTTTTGAAAAATGAGAATTCAACAAGAGCAAAAAAGCCATTCACTTGCTCTCGGAGGAACCTTAGCCCTTTTTAATTTCATTCTTATTTTCCTCCATACTCTCTCTCGAGCGTAATGCAGACCCAAGATTTGTGTTTTCTCTATTCCAATCATTTTAGGTTTCCGGGAACATTTTTGCTTAATTTAAATTTAATAGCTAGTAATATCTGATAACAATAGCTCGAAAAGAAAAGTCATGCTTCTACTGGACTTCAACTTTCTTGAAATTGCTTTCTATTCTCTAAATAAAGGGTAATGAGCTTTTTATAACGCCGCTTCGGTCCATTTTTTGGCTTCTTTCTTTGGGACATCTGAATTTTATAATAACTCCTTTAAATAATGCACTTGTCTGGTTCTTCCTTTGACATCAACTATATAAGTTAGCATTTTGCCCGACATAGAGCACTTACGACAGTGAATAAATGTGCAAAATATTTTACCTACACGATGATACGTACCCAAGTTAAGTTAAGGTGAGAGATCTATGAATCTACTTGGGAGGCTAACTTGAAGTAGGTTGCGGCATAACATTCACTTAGCGGTGCTATGATGTGTATATGGTCTAATAGAACAACTTCTGCCTCACTAAAGCGTTCTACGGGCTTGAATAATCAAAATGTAATAAAAGTAGTTTGATCTATCTACTAGATATATAAATTGTTGCGTGCAATTGATTTTACCACATCATATCTCTTATTGTGTTCTTCAGTCGAAACCACGTTGACCAAGCTGGAAGCCAAGTTGGCTTGACGAGAGCTTATCAAAGCTTAGCTTAACAAACCTCATCATTCGTGCACTCTTCTTAGCAAGTCTCAGCTGGGCTCGTTTTCGTTTTTGGGTTTCTTTTTGACTTTTTAAAAGTCAGAAAAGTTGCTTGAAATCAATCAGATTATTGCAACAATACAAACCAATTCAATTCAACATCACATACTAGTTTTTTCCAATGTTCTGTCCGATTTGCGTATTTTTTTTTCAATTTAGAAACGTTAGAACATTTCTCACAACGACTTTTAAACTTTCTAAATCTTGCAGTGAGGTTTTTTCTGCTTTAAAGAATACGACATGTAAGAAAGGCAAAGAAAAAAAGAAACATAACTTGACTTTCATAACTTCTTTCTTCTTTTTTGAAAGAGTTGAGCATTGGAGTTGGATCTTAGCTTTTGGTAATAATCTGAGAGCTCGTTTATTATATCGCTATAATGGTGAGACCATAGAGCATGAAAACTGCTAAGTTGATAGTGAACCTCAGTCGCTTTTGGAAAAAACTGTTCTGTCGAAAAAGTATGCTCCTGTAATGAGTGTAATGAGCATTTTTGAAATAAAAAATACGAGTGATGCGGCAATTTTCATTATAATTCAGGTAGAGTTGCAGCAGCTCAACAAGGTGGACTGTATCCGCCTAAGTATAGTGAAGTGGAAAAAGAATTAGAATAAATGAGGTATGTTTTGTGATAATTGCTTTTCTTATATTGTTTGTGCTTAAAACCTTATTTGCAAGTCCTCTACCACAGAATTCATTTGGTTCTCTCCTTCTAACTCATTGCAAATTATCTCCCCCTTTTCTCTTTCTCACCTCCTCTTTATTTACACATTAACCCAATGAGTTGCAGGTCTGTTTAATGTTAATTAGCAGTCTCCCCTGCACACTCTGGAGTTTTTTTTAAAGTGAGATGTCCCAAACAAAAAACCGAGAGTTGACCGAAACGCCGTTTTTACTGAAGCGGAGACTAAGAAGCTGATTGCCCTTTATTTAGAAAATAGAGAACAATTTCATGGGAAATTCAAATCCGGTAAATGCATGACCCTTCGTGCCAAGTTCTTGTTCATGGATAATCATCATTAGTAGTAAATCAGGCAAAAATGTCCGCCAGAACCTACTAAATGATTGAAGTAGAGAGATTACGAATTTTGGGTTCGCAATACGGTCGAAAGAAAGCATAGAAGAAAAAATCAAGAATGAAATCAAAAAAGCTCAGAGGTTTCTCCAAGAGGAAGTGAGTGGCTTTTTACTTTTGTTAAATACTCATTTTTCACCGAGTCTCTATAGGAGAAGAAATACAATGGGACAGGCCGAGGTGTATATAACTTGCTGAAATTGCCATCATATCTTCATCTTCATCCGCTCGTAGAAGCTCTTGCGAAAAAGCACCATATTGCCGGAGTACCCAGTTTGGGTGAGGAGTTATACAAAACTGACTCATTTCAATTAGCTTGAAAAATTCTTCAGATGAAGAATCGGATGGCGAGCTCGAATATAAGTCTGACGATGCACTTGCTCCGAACGGGTTAGGAATAAGGTATGGGGTTTTGCCAGATTGTGAAGGTTGTATCGGCAGCGGACATTGGTCACGCAGTATGCAACAAAGACTGAAACACAGAACAAGCGACTAATCTGAGGCAGAAAGTAGTTTGAAAGGCAAAAGAAATGTAAGCTGTTTTTGCGGGCCGTGTAAGCAATGTACACAAACTCATCGACCTTCACTCAAGCATAGCCTTATATGCTCTCAATCATTTCAGTTTCGGGCCAATCACATTTCAGAGATGTAACTGGGGAAGAAGAAGAGGCTGTTTTGGATGATTCACCTGAAACATTTGAGGAAGGTCGTAACCAGCAACAACCGACCTGGCATTATCAAAACCTAAGAGCATTGCAGCGTTAGTTATCAAAAACCGTCGTGATTCAGGTTGTAGGAGATTTTTCAGTAAAGCTCGTAAAGCTTTCTCGCTCTTTACGGACAAGCGCTCGCTACCTTATGACGAAGAAATAAAGCTGACACGTTTGAGACAGCGGAAAGTTCAAATTGAAATTTGTGTGGCTGAGCTAAGAATGGAGGAAGCTAGACCTCTAGTAGAAACCGCAAAGGCGAATCTTCCCCGTAGCACCACCACTGATCTCCCTTACCCACAATTTTATAATCTGTAACACAGATTTCAATAGGAATCCCATGTTGCTGTGATTTCAAAAGCTGCAAAATATTGAGTTGAAGTGTTTACCGTAATATTATGCTGTTGTAATCGTGTATTGCTAAAGTAATGTTATTTTTATTCGAGAACATTCTTATCCACTGTGAGTAGCAGTCTGGCTCTTACTATAGTTATATGTACTTCAGTTACCATCATAACTATTTCAGACTTATTTAATGGAAGATAGTGAGAGAGAAATCTTTGATTTCTTAATCGATGCGGCGGTTCCGCATAATTCCGCAACAGAATGGACCCGTTAGATGTGCTCGACGACAGCAAATTTAGAGGGCGTTTTCGACTAAGTCGACGTGGCTTTTATAGTTTGCTAGTGCTGCTACATGAAGATTTATCACATTCGACCACAAGGGCTTCGTCGATTTCGAGCTGTCATAAGCTCGCCATCTTTCTAGAGCATGTGGAGAGTGCTAATATGCAGGTACACATATTTACTTACAGAATGTGGCTCCATCACATTGTAACTTCAGCGGACAACAGCCATTACCTTAGGCTGTTCACAGCCGACAGTATCCCGCATTATCGCGCAGGTGTCCGATGTGTTGTATCGAAGAAGAAACGAATTTATTAGATGGCCAAATGAAGAAGAACAACGCAACATCCAGAGAAAGTTAGTGCCATGATGCAAATTTATTGCACTGTAGGCCATGTTTTAGATTTTACGAATTATGTGGGATTCTTCATGTCATCGGGGCTTTGGACGGGTCCCATGTAAAAAGTCTAGCGCCAAGCGTATGCGAAGACAGTTATGTCAACAGGCAAGATCTAATTGATAATGCAAACAAGCAATTAGCTTCATGCATTCAGAAAAGACTTCCATTTTATAAATATGGGAGCCATATGTGATACTGAGCAGCGTTTTATTTGGGTTAACTCTAGATTCCCAGGACGAGCACACGATTCTCGTGCAAGTAACAAAACTTACCGCTTTCTGGCACTTCACAATCAACTTACTTTTCAGGTATTTCGTAGCAGTACTTTTGTGACAGGAAGAAAAACCGGCATTCTCCTTGCAGATAGCGCATAAGTTCGGAACCATTTCTTTTAAGGCCCGTATTAAGAGATGACAGAACGCCGGCAGGTTGATAACCGACAAGCATTCGATTTTTATGAAAAGAAATAATTTTAGAAGCACGATTTACGGAAGCACTTTGCAGAGGCAGGGTTATCACAGAAAATGCGCTTGGATCGTTAAAGAGACAGTTTTCGTCGTTGCATACAGAACTAAGGTGTGCCGGGTACGAGCGTGCACCAATACAAAACCATGACTCAGGCAGGCATGATCCGTGCCGCCAAGATAATCGTTCCCACTTGTTGCGCGAGAAACTACTGCATCAAGACTGGAGAAAGACCCTTCGGTGAAAATGAAGGAGTGCCACAGCAATATCCCGATGCCAGTGACAGTGAAGCGGATATCCCGGGTGCAGGGGAAGGCGTCAATATGCGCAGAGTTATCATCGAGAGATATTTTACATAGAAATGGACGCAAGATTATTTATATCACACAAGTATTTTTGAAAGGTTGATTTGATTACTTTCTTTTTTTCCACATTTCATACTTAAAAGTTGTTTTTAAGACCTCTGAATGAAAATGGTTTTGGTACGACCTGAGATTGCCACACGTCGTGTTTGGAGCGTTTTTTAAATTCCTGGCGTTAACATAGTTGTTCTATACGTTCTTTATTCTCCATCATGAAAAAGTAAATAAATTAAAAGTCAAACTTCCCGTTTTTTCAATTCCCTTTAAAATATGCTGAGCTGTTTGCAAATGCTGTATCGAGATTCAAAATAGAAACGTGCAAATGCAGTAGAACAACAACTCTGGATATTGCCTTTTATGATATCAATAACGAAAGTGAGAAGGGTGATAACTCTGAAATTTTTCGTTGTCTTGCTTCATCTGGACCTCATTTTATTGATGTTTTTTATTCCTCCAGCGCAAATATCTTCGTTAATTGTTTCCAATTGTTTTGATTCACTTATCTTTTTCACCCATGGCATAGCCTTCGGATTGAGTATCGTTCTTCTAACTTTTAGTTTTCTTCCTCTTTTTTTATGATTGAAGTTGCTTAGTACTACGTTGAGTTTGTTCTCCCAATAAAATGTCTGCGTAGTTTAGACCTTTGGGATGTCAACATTGAACTCAGTGAGTCGAATAGCGTTATTCTCATCTATGAGTCTTAGCAGTATTAACGCTACAGTTGCACAAAATTTTTTCGGCAGGGTGGGATCTCGCTTGAGTTGCAAATAACCGGGTGCGCCCTTGGCATTGATTATTTCGATGCTTAGCCCATTAATAATCTCTTAATAAACCTCAAAGAATTAACTCTCAGGAACCATGACTAGATGAAATGACAATAGACTGAGTAAGCGAGTGAATTTGAGCTAAATAAAGAGAATGTATTCGTCCTTTAAAACGGTCGCGTTGAAAACAAGGGCGCTTTTGGGAAGAGTTCAATTTTTATGTGCAGAGTCAAGGTAGATTTCAAACCCTAGTTGTTCTAGGGTTGGTTTTTACCTCGAAAGCATAATAGAAAGTTGGTAGAGAAATGATGATTGAGGTAGATTTTAACCTCAAGGTAGAATGATGAATACGGGTTTATGCGTTTGAAGGTTCATTTCTACCTCAAGGTAGACTTAACCCACGAGAAAATCTCATTGCGATCATGTTGTGAATACGGGTTATAAACTAAATTGCTAGCTGAGGTAACTTTTAACCTTAAGGGTTCGTTGATGAAAACTGTCACTGGCCTCAACTTCTACAAAAAGTGACCAGGCATCACAAAAAGCTTCTTGGGTATCCAGTCAAATCGAAGCTGCGATAACTTATTTCTATAAACCGTTTGCAATGCCATAATTATCATACCGCTATTATACATACGTTTGCTTGCAATTTCAAACAGAAGTACACATCCTTCAATAGGATTTTTGATTGAATCAAAACTCTTTTGATTTGTGTAAGGGTTTTCAAGAATACCACCTTATTAACCTACAGAGAGTGTTCAAAGTATCCATGATATATCTCGAGAAATGAAAAAAAACAAGCTGGAAAGCGCGAAATTGCACCAGATTGCAAAACGTTTGGTCTATTCGCTGTTATCAGAGCTACTCCAAAAGTCATAAAGATTCTGAGATTTTGCGAAAGTTAGGCAAGGTAGAAGCGAAAGGTGAAAAATTGCTGCGACTTTCTCAGCACTACTCGAGAAATTTACTTCAAAATTGCAGTATTAGAAAAAAGAATCCTGCATTGAATGTCTTGTCTATCTATCTTCATTATAAAAGGTTTGCAGGTAGATCCTAAAAACGTACGAAAATTTTGCAGCCATCAGCCCGTAAACTCTCAAATCTTACATAGAAATGGACGCAAGATTGTTTATATCACACAAGTATTTTTGAAAGGTTGATTTGATTACTTTCTTTTTTTCCACATTTCATACTTAAAAGTTGTTTTTAAGACCTCTGCATGAAAACGGTTTTGGTACGACCTGAGATTGCCACACGTCGTGTTTGGAGCATTTTCTAAATTCCTGGAGTTAGCATAGTTGTTAAACTCCAGTAAGCCATTCCAATGCCATTTGCATTTCGGCAAAAATCGAAAGTGGCCGTCTGCACTGCAGCGAATATTAGAGCTGTCGAAGAACGAAAATGGATAAGATGTACCCAAGGATTTGGACGCAATCTCGCAATTTTAATACGCAGAAGTTGCAGAGAGAACAAGGGAGTACAAGAACCGCAGACATGTAGAGTGGCGTCGTCACCAGCCTAAGAAAAACATCATTTTATAAGATCTCAAAACCATCTCAGAACTCCGCTTCAAAAATATTGACCAAAGATGAAGATTATAAACCTGTAAACCTGTCCATGGTTTTTCAAAACCTTTTGAAGAAAATGCGCTAGCAATTTCTTCACCGCCAAGATAACTAGGCTCCAGCTGAGTGAGCAAAACACAATCGTTGGCCTAAAAAATCATTAATAGCCTCCAAAGGATCATAGTAAACAAATAATACTACCTGTTCTGCACTGGTATACCAGAGTGGATCATCGGCTAGCACGATTCATTTATTCAACTCGTTTGCAGCTCCCAATATCGCTTTCTTAGGATCCCAAGACCTGGCCTAGATCCGGAAGAATATGTTCCAACCGACGCACCTAAACCAATTAGAAGATAAAAAGAGCAACAATTGAAGCTTTCCGTCTTGCCTCAACATGGCTTTTATAGATCTTTAGCGATGCTGAGCGAGTATAGATGCGCGACGTAGTAACAACAAGACTGGATCGAAACATTTCTAGAACTTTGGCACCAGCAAACCTGAATAAATATGACTTATTATCAAATTTCATTACCGATATTCTATTAACAGAATGAAAAAGGATATAAACATAGAATAATAAATGATTGCAAGTCGTGCGTAGAAGGATATTTAAAACAGACATCGGTCTCAACCTTTCATCTCAAAGTGGAGTTGCTGTTGATAGCCTTTGATAAGTGAAACATGTATGTGCTAATCAAGGTTTGTGGTAAACCCTATGTTCGCTATATAAAATTGGAATAGCAACTAGCTAAAAATTCAGTACCAGTTGACTATTTTTCTCAAAAAGTTGTCCTGCTTCAAAAATCTGTAACATGGCATCTCTAACTCTTGGCTAGGATAGACTTTGGTGCGTTTAAATGTCGCGTAAT